TTGAATTGATTAAAATAAAATAAAATATTTGGTACCTGAGCACAAATGAAACATACCCAGTAACATTAAATTGCACCAATTCATGTGAGCCATGGATATTTAAAAAATTAAATAATATTTATTTTGATTTTTGGAAACAGAAACCAATTGTCAATAAATTAGTTCATTTAAAAATACTCTTAAAATGTTTAAATTTTAATGGAAAAAGAGAACACAAAACTCAAAACTTTCAATTATTGGTCAACAAACATTGAATGAGGGTATAGTGAAGGCATGAATGTTTTTTTACTTAAAATATTTATAAATGTTCTTATAAATTTTAAATGACAATTGAAAACAATTTGACAAATCACAATAAATAATTGGATATATGGCAGTAGTAAATTGGCCAATGATTGAAGGAAACCTGCAAAGACTCATGGGTAATGAGTATTATTAATTAATACATATTCATTATATTATATATAGATAGTGTGTCCAAGTACAGAACAATTCCAAGGGTTTGTGAATGGAGACAGAACAACACAGTTCAGCGATCTCTCAACTTTGTGGTCTTTAAATCAAGAGAAATACTTCAACGCAGAAAATAGGACGTTTGAAAATAAATATCATAGTCGGGAACTGGAAGAAAATTTTTCCAGGAATGTCTTCAACACTCCAGGACATCTTCACATCATTCAAGCTTTTGATGACTGTGAGGGCGCCATCCTCAATACTGTCATGAACCAGGAATTGAAAGGTGTGGTTTTCAACTTGGAATCACATCAAAGTATCAGAAGCAGCATTGCACATACCATCCTGCCTTATCGAGATGTAGTTCCCATAAACAGCTTAGCTTTGAAAGAAGACTATTTTTTGTCGCAGGATGAAAGCAAACTAGGTGCAATATTTAACGAAATGCTTCACCAAACTTTAGTGCTGACCGAGTACTTATCAAATGATGGATTTGGCGTTCTCCTGGATGCATTTCAAAATGTTCTTAAGGAATATCATTTACAGCATCCCGATTTAGGCTCCAGATTACATATCATTATCCAGAAACCAGAGACTCTCACAGTGTATTCAAGTGAGGATGACCGGACTGCCAGTCACCAATTTATACAGATGATTAGCACATTGATTGATCATTGTGAGGTCACGGTCATTGTCCTTCCAAGGAATAGAAGCTTTCTTCATTGGCTGAAAAGCAACTGTAAGTATTGTTAACTGTTTAATTTTCTCTGTTTGAAATGTTCGCGATTTCATCATTTTATTTTTTGCGTGTGTACCGGTACTGTCAAATACTTTATTTTCGCTTGGAATTAATCTTTGCTGAAGGAATGAATTAGTGAAAATAAAATCCAGCGTACTGGTATATACCTTTTTTCCTATATTTTACATTCAACTTGTCAAAAATCACTGAAAATTAATTCCATACAAAATACCCAAAATGTCTTTTAGGTGAAAATTAATTCCAGCTAAAATAAAGTATTTTAAAGTATACAAGAAAATTACTGACCTTTGAGAAATTCTCACTACTATAAAGTTTTGTGATTTTTAATAACTAAAGAAATTTGTCTCTTGAGAAAATAAAGTGATTAATAGAATTAAATTCTCAGTACCTCAAATACAAATGTGCATGTCGCAGGAATGTTTTTACTGTGTTTCGCGTATTGCATCACAGGAAAAGGTCAACATTGTAGAAATTTGCATAACTCAATCAAAGAACTGATTGACGTTCTACTAAGTGTGTTTAATCAGGTATTAACTTACTAGAGGTTGTCCAAAATATGTTAAAATATTTGAGTGAGTTCAAATTGTTAATCTTATTATAACTTAGATAAATTTTCATTCGGTTTAGCCACTAAAAACATTAAGGTAGAAGCCTACTCATATTTGTTGAGAAATTGTGTCATAAATCACATGACAGTGTTCATTGGTTTATTATGTAAAATCATGAAGCTATTGTCCCATGGCACCATAAAATAGCATTCTATTGTGTGTTACAGTGACGTATTTTGAGAAACTTGTACTACATTTTTTCAAAAATAGCTATTTTTAGAACAATTCCATAGAGTGCAATGTTAAACGAAAATTGCATTTTTCAACACTTTTTAAAACCCAGATTTTTGAAAAAATTCAGGAAAACAAAAAGTAGCCCATCATTAACAATATATTATTTTTTCAGCCTATGTCACCAGCCTACAATTTGAGATATGGCATAATATCTCTGCCATAGGAACCTATGGTAAAAGCACTATAATACTGCTAAAATGGCCGCTATCCACTAAAATACAACCATGATTTTCTCGAAAATTAACCTGGTGACCCCCATTTTTTTCAAAGTCAATATTCTTGTATTGCCTGGAAGTACAATATATTAAAAAATTAAGAAATTCTGGGTTTTTGAAATCATGAGTAGGCTTCTACCTTAAACAAAAATAGACACACCGTAGTATTAAAATATAATAAAAGTTGCACATTAGATTAATGGGTTGCTAGTAAACAGAAATAGACATGATCTTAGCTTGGTCCCATATCTGAACTGATATCGTTTTAAAACAGGATGCTGAATAAAAACATATTTTTCCGGAAAAGTAACACAGTTTATATAAGCATATAGTTCCCATTTTGGAATTTCTGTTCAATGAGGGTAGTACAAATTGTATTCCTAACATTACTGGTATGTTTTGGGGTTTAACAAATTGGTCAACAAATATTCCATACATTTTGATGAGTTGATGTGTTCCAGCAATGTGTTTGAATAGAGATGACAAATTTGATATGAAAAAGACATTGGCAAATTCATTTGTATAATTTTATTTGGTGAAAATACACAACACACAGAATAGCAGACATGAGTCTACTTCTATGATGGTTCATTGAATTTTCTTTTGCCATTCTGCACAAAACACCGTGTAATATGTGTGGTTTGTAGTGTAGAACACAAAACGTGTCAACCCCGGAAGTTGGAAAGTTACATAGTTACAATATAAAGTTAGAGATAATCGTAAAAACCATGTCGTTGTAATAAATATAGTACATACTAAAAATGTAGTTGTGTAATCAAACATGTGTCTCATATGTTACAGTAAAGTCCATGAATGTCACTCTTACTTTCACAATGTATCATGATAAAAGCATCATTTAATGACTGACTTCAACAGTAATTAAAGCGAGGGAGTCACCACCTGCGCATGCATCAGATGGCCATAGCGTGTCATTGTTTACAAACAAGTGTCTACCCATGAGCCTTTGTGTTTTTACCGTGTGTTGCTATCATTGCTTGGGACTGCATGTGCGCAGGTGACGACCCTCTCGCTTTAATTAATACCATGAATGAGTTAACTTACATTTACATAACTTACAACTGTAATGTCAAAGCTGTATTACTTTCTTTCAATGCTCACTTCACCTTTTAAATATTATTATAATAGCTAATTGCTTCCTCATGCAGTTATTCCACTCATACTAAATGTAGTATTTTGATTCCTGTTTAAGACAACCATCTCTATAAGGATATCCACACCTGGTACCTTGGAGCCTCTTACAACAGCGCCCTCAAGTGGTTGAAAAGTGAATACGGATCTGTACTATCCAAATCTCAGACACACACTTTGTTATCTACGATTGGTACGAGTATACATACACTTTGGAGGACGTTGCAAGAATATATCAGCGGGAAGCAGTTTACAGGTAAAGTGTCGCTAATGTTTTTGTATTAATTATGTCATTATTATGTCAAATAAAAAAGTAGTGTGTTTCTGGTAATCCAACCTTGCCTAGATGTTGGCCACTAGTGGGTGCTCACTTTCTGTTTTCAGCTGTATGCTTGCTACATTTTTCTCATAAAAACGCATGTACAATATTGTGTGTTGTGAAAATGTAATTTACAAAATGCTCTGTATCCGAATAATTCTAATAAAACAAATATGAAATTTTTAATATTTATTCATAGTTTGGTAAGCCATTGTCCATATTTGTCCATATAATGACATCATCACTCCACAGTATCAGTCAGTAGAAGAGACAAAAATATAAGATCCCCTTAACACTTGTTTTTACTCTATTATCCCTCACTTCGAGGGGGATTTTTTGTCAAAATTCAAAAATTAGTATGATTACCCAGATTTTTAAAAATTTGATCTTGTAGAACTACATTTTCTGTGACAAAATTCCTATTTCTCTTAGATTGACTTAAATTGAAGAGAAAATTATGATACTAATTGTCAAAACACTGTTTCCCTCAGATATTATTAATTATTACAAAGAAGAAGCACTACTTGATTTTGAAGAAAAACTAAGAAATCAGAAGCAGCCTGGTCTACTGTTTAATCTCTTCAAAACATTTGATGAGTCATCCTCAAGTTGTCCAGAAATTGACAGAATAACAGCATCAAAAATGTACAGAGCACAGTTTCTTGATGCTTTAGAACATGACGGTGTAGTGTACTTGCAATCAGGGACGTCGTTGTATGGAAGTTGCCATGGCAATGCTTGGAAACCAGTACATCGTTATATGACGGGATATAGAGAATTCATTTCCAGAAATATGACTGGTAAGAACATTGATGTTTATTTTGTACCTTATGATTTGTCAATTTAAAATCTCAATAAAAATGTTCTAAAGATTAGTATTTTTTATAAATAATTGAAATGAACATGTACATATCGCTTATAGACACTCTGTATAAATGATATCTCAGGGGGAGGTAGTATTATTGAATTAGACTTACAAATATGTATTTCTTAATTGGTTACTATCAGCTTAACAAAAGTATTCCCTTCATCTGTGTAAATATTTATAAATTTCAGTTGGCAGTTGAATCCAACCAGCCAATATAGTGAGCAGCAACGTCATTTGGAAATATTCAAATGTTATTCAATCAACCAATAGAAATCTTATTGTTTTAATTAAAATAAATACTTATAAAGATGAAGGGAATGCTTCAAAATTGGCACCCTTTTCCAGAAATATAAATATAAGAAAAAGTGCAGAATAATTTGGCAAGAAAAGTCTGGTGGTGAAAAGGTTAGATATAGAAATAATTTGAGCTTTGTAATGAGTCAGTCTGTGCTTAAACTTAATATATTTTGTGACATGCATTACCGGTACTTCTTTATAGCTTTTATGATTTGAATGTGCATTCACGCTTTCATTTTGTCATCTGTAATGATTACTGGAAAGATATAAAAATAAGTTAAAATGGTCACTTTGTTTTGGACAGATATGCACAGTTGTGGAAATATATTGTAAAACGAATTGTTTTATAGTAGGGCAAATTTAAGCCAGAAATGGACTTGCATTTACTAATGATAAGGTTATAATTTATGATGTATTGTTTCATTTGTTTTTCAGTTCTGGCAGTGAAAGTTCACAAAGATGAGCATGTATACCATATTAAAATCGATGACTTATCTGTTGCTTCTATTCTGAGTAAATTGCAAGATTACAGCGTGGACACATCAGATTTCTGGTACTTTGCAGTCAATGGAAGCAGATGGCAACATGGTCAAATCCATGCCAGAAACGGCCATGTTTTGCAGTTTCTTACAACACAGAGTGAATTGTTTTTCACGAGTTTAGATAGCTCCACAGTTGGATGGATTAATTGGCTGGTGTCATTATTAGGCTAATACTGTACAATACTTTATTTTCGCTTGGAATTAATTTCCGCTATTTTTCGCTGAAGAAATAATTCAGTGAAAATAAAAATCCAGCAAAGTATCGGTACATTTTTTCCTATATTTTACATTCAACTTGTCAAAAATCAGTGAAAATAAATTCCATACATAACACCCAAAATGTGTTTTCAGCGAAAATTAATTCCAGCTAAAATTTTAAGAATTTTACAATATATGAGTACACATGTGACTACCATTCCATTTCAGAGAAGAACTTCAGGTTTAAAACATGTCAGCATGACTTATTATAAAAATCTATATATTTATAAATACTATAGCATTTTTTATAAATATATCTAGTGTTTGTGTAATTTTTCAAATTAAATATGAATCACTGTTGATCACCAGTTACACGAGAAGTGGTGAAATATACCTAAATCTTGGTGATTTTGTTGTTGTTATATAATATAAAGGAAACTCCCTCATTGCTTGGCTGTGAAAAAAATGATTTTCATCAACCAGGAGCCTGCTAAAATGTTTCTTTACTTTCACCTCGTCTATGTACATTGCACCATTTCATGACCACAGAGCTGTATAGTTGCAATATTTCCCAAAACCCATTCTTGCAAAACACTCTATTTGTCTTGTATTGTCTTCCTGAACAAACTCAAATCATCAAAATTTAATGGCTTAGTTATATTGCTAAATACGCATATATTAATTAATGAGTAATATTTGATTAACACTTTTCAATTCCAAAGGATCATAGGTTCAGACAAATTCATAGTAATTCGAGTCAATCAATTCATCATTCTACATGTACCAAATATGACTTGCACTAACAAGATGAAAACTCTTTTGTAACCTCTTCAACATCCAACTTGTTCAACAAATCTTTGATAGTTGTCTATAGTTATTATTTCTAAGGCAGTGTGGGCATATTTATAATATTACCGTAAAATCTGTATTAGAAGCCGCATTCCTAATAGAAGTCGCACCTATTCTTTTTAAACAATTGAGAACCAAAAATTCATTGTTTTTCATATGTGTAGATGCTCTGATAGAAGCCGCATCTTATTTGTTGTATTGTACCATTTTAATAGAAGTCGCAGCTTCTAATACAGATTATACAGTACTGTTTAATTTTTGCCGCTTGCTTTTTGTAATTTGCCAATTTAGTCTGCCATATTTTTACTGCCATGTATATAAGCTAAATATTTTATTTACTAATTTCTTTTATATATATTTAATATATTTTTATGCTTTTACCAAGAATAATTGTATTTATTTTTAAGAAATCATCACTATTTGCATCAAATGCAAGGACGATATGAGCTTTGATATTACTGATTTAGGTTTCATCAATCGTTAGATTTCGGAGCTAGGAGATTTTTTTTTTTTTTTCTGATCCATGTGTAGCACATTAAGTTACCATGCCTACTAATAGCCATTACAATAGTATGGTCATTGACGCTGCAGTTCGGCGTCTTCTACACCGATCTGACGCATATCGCGCTAGGTGTGCCGGGAGTTTGTTCGAAATTTCGAAGTCAATCGTCTATTGCCATGTATTTTACGGATATATTAAATCGTTTCAGAGACCTGTTTACTAAATAATGATAAATGAAACTTGGAAATCTTGTAAGAACAAACTGGGCCCAAATTGCAATAAGTTTACGCTGCTAGAGTCTGGTTCGGATGGAGTTCTACGCGTGATTTTATTACGCTCAAAGACGTTCTATTTTCGAACTAGTTGAAACCAGAAATAACGCAACAACTTTCGAACTTCAAACACAAATTTGATTATCGTTATTATGTGTTAGTTTCTGTTGTTTCAAAGATTGAATTATGTATGACAATAATATTTCACTCTATAAACAATATTTCACTAAAATATGTGATTCAAAGGCAACCCAAATGTAAAAA